TTTTTTAGCTGTTACACATTGGGACTTCTACATTTTGGGGTGCTGGATTTTCTTGTCCACTTTTTTAAGTGTTAGGTTTGTTCTGACAGCCAGTTTTTACTTGCAAATCTGATCCTTTGAAGGCTTATTTTTAAGTGTTGTTAGTGCAGTTCTAGAGCTAGAGTACTTCCACTACTAATATGTGCCTGTTCCAGGGTCTCGACCCAGTGTCCCTCTCCACTCTGTGGAGCCCTGTGTGTGCTCTGGCAGTTACGTGTTCATAGGTAATTTTTTCCTCAAAAGTTGTTGGTCTGCCAACCTTGTGGAGTTTCACTTCATGCATACTGAGATTGGTGGTTCAGCAAGGACTCAAGAGGATCCATAAGCAGTTCTGGAACTTTCTGTGTAGCTCCCTCCTTTAAAGTACCCTGCCCCACAAATTAAAGCCTTCTGGGCTCCTCCTGATTTTAGCACTTTTGCTGAGCTGCACGCAGTGTCCCTGTACCTACCGTGTGGAAATAGCCTCCAGGCAGAAAGCCTGGTTCCCAGCTTTCACACTGGGAACGTGGTCCTGCACTGTCTGTTGTCCAGCTTCTGAAATAGTTGTTTGGTAGATTTTGTTCAGTTTTCTACTCCTCACTGGCAAGTAACGAAATGCAGCTACTGTTTCTCTCTTAAGTTTAGAAGCAGAAGGCACATTTCGTTTTTAGAGAGATATGCTTTTTGAAGCAGTGAATTCTAACAGGTTAAGAAATACATGTTTGAGGGTATCCTTTTTACTCTCGAGCATGTTAAAAGAAAACCATTTATTAGGAGAGGCACTAAAGTGGGTTTTTTCCTGGCTGACTTTTATGCCAATAAATCCTAGGAAGGCGTTTAGTAGTCTCTGAATCCAAATCCTTAAGGAACTGTCCACTCAGAACGTTTGCTCTACTTTTTCGTCAGAGCTGTGGGTCCAGGGAGTCACAGAGAATTTTCACACAGTTTATGTGTGGAGGATATTTTTTCCTGAATCTCGGTGTTTACCTTTTTTAGACTGGTCATTAGCAGTTGATTTTGGTCTAAAGGATAGCACCTGCTGTCCCGAGATTGGCACCAGGTGATCAGCTAACTGTGTGACGCTGGACAGGCCACTTACTTTCTCGTCCCTGAGTGAAGGGCACTGGACTGGTGGGACTTAAAGGTCCCTTACCTTCATTTATTCAGTAAATATGAAGTGTTCCAAGCCCTGGGATTACATTAGTGAATGAGACACATAGGGACCCTGCTCTCACAGAGCTTAGTGGAGTACAGTGGCAATATATACAATAAATAAAAAATCAAATGAGGAAGAAATACCTTTGGTGAGGAGGGCTATGGGAAAAAGAAGCCGGGGCGAAGTGAATTGCGATGGGAGGGCCCCCATTAGGGGGAGGGGCTTCTCCACAAAGGCTTGTCTGAAGAGATGACATTTTGAGCTGCCGTTCAGATGAGCAGAAGGAACCAGCCATTTGAAGCTCTAGGGCAAGAACATTCTAGGCAGAGGGAAGAACAAGTACAAAGGTCCTGGCCAGTGAAAGAATGCCATGGCTAGCTTGTCATGAGTGAGGGGCTAAGGGTTATAAATGACAGATGGGGGTGAGGTAGGGGTCAGGACCTAGCTCAGTGCTGGCAGCCTGTGATTCTGAGATGCAGTCCCACTGTGAACACTTCTCTACCCAAATACAGCACTGTTAGATGTCACATGGCCCTGTAGGTAGATAAGAAGGGGTCCCAGGAGTCTTACTGGGGTGGGCGTGGTACTTGAGGCCCTAGCAGGATCACAGAGTCTGAAATCAGCATGGACTGTAATGGCACGAGTGAGCCAATGCAGTTTTAACAGGGAGATGAAGGCCAAGTTCAACAATCCTGGTCAGCATGAGCCAACATGAATCCATTTCCACATTTGCAGAACCACGGATAGCTCCATAAGACCTATTGCTTCAAAGAAAGGAAAATGGGCTTTTGTGAAGCTCACATATAAAGGCTACATAGACCCCATAGCCTAGAAATCCTGCTTCTGTGGAAAGAAGCCACCAGGAAATCTGCCTATAGAGGTAAGGAATGCGTGTCTTTTAAATAGGGAAAGAAAAGAGACTGAGAGAGCAGTTCAGGGGTGGAGGGGGCTGATCCAAAGTCAGCAGGCTTTGTCCTGGTGGAAGGCAGCTAGCCAGCCTTCAACAGGCCTTCCCCTGTGTTGCTGGGTCTTTCTTGTTGTGTTCTGATACAGCACCAATTAATTCAGCTCAGGTTAGTAATTCTCAAAGATCCAGACAGCTCTCACCTGTTGTTACTAGCACACTGGCATGTGTATTCTGCAAGAACGCTGTCCTCCTGGGCAGGCTGGAGCCTCCACTCATTTTGATTTTGTCAGATCACCCTTCACCCTGAGTCAGGTGGCCTCCAGCTTGCCTCTGTGCAAAGTATTGCTTCTCATGTGCTCTCTGTTTAGGCAGGGAGAGCATTGTCAGCCATCACATCCACATCAGGCCCCTCTCACCTGCAGCTGTATCTCTGTGTTCCTGAAAACAGCATTTTAACAAATGCATGTTTTCTATTTAACAACTTTGATCTGTCTCTCATTGTATCCTACAGTCTTTTTTTTTTTTACCCTTCATGCTCTAGTGACACAACTTGCCTGAGTTTATTAATGGCTTCTTATCTCCCCTCCGTTGCCTCTTCTCTGTTCTCCTCCACCTCTGTGAGGCACATGCCACTGTTGACATGTCCTCATGGCCATGGCAGCCTCTCCTTCCTTTGAAGGAAGCCTCTTACAGCCTCCCTGCTTCCCTGCTGCCTCTTGGCCCTACATGTGTCTCCCCAGCAAGTTCGCTCCTCACTCCTCCCTTTGGAGCTCCTACTTCTAGATCCAACCATCCTCTCTGGGCACCAGTTCCCAAGTACTCATCTCCACCCCGACTTTTCCTGCCCCCATTCCTGGACTCTGGAGCATCTGTACCCTAATAGTAACCATGGATAAAGCCAAGTTTCTCCCCTGTCCTCATCCCCCAGACTACCCTGTGGGTGCCCCATCTCCTACACACCCAGGCTTAATGGTTCAGAGTCATCTGTGATCCAGTTCCCTGTTACTCAGAAGTTATCTGGTCATGTGGCCTCTAGCTGCAGTGGAGTGTAGAGAGGATGGAGGGGACAAGGAGGCAGCAAGTGTAGACCTGGTGAGACCATGATGGGCGTGAGGAGAGAGGGCAGTGCTGAGAAGAGCAGATTAGAGGGGTATCTGAGAGCACAAGAGATTGAAGAAGGTGTTTAAACACAGATGGGGAGGGTTCTGATAGAAGAGAGATTGAAAATTAAAACAAAGAGAAAGGATCCTTGCTAGCTTCCTCAGAAGGATTCAGCAACACCCAGTGCTGCTGGTAACAACAGCTAATCCAGTGATCTTTCAGTTGGAGATACTGGCCAGCATTGGAATGAGAGAGGCCAGGGTTTGCATTGCAGCATTGTTTGTAATACCAAACAACCATTAAATATTTGTGTTTATTGCAGTGTGGATTGGTAAAAGTAGATTATAGAACATCCATTCAGTAGACTGTTGTGCAGCCTTAGAAAAGAACAAAACATGACCTGATAAGACAAGTTCTAAGATACTATCGAATGAATAAACAAGATGTGACAAAATACTGTGTCTACTAAACTGTCATTTGTGTCTTTTAATGGGAGGGTAGAAATATTTATATTCTTATTTGCCTGTGTATATATCAAGACACAGTGGAAGGAGACTGGGAAACCAAACATGGTAGCTAAACCAAGTGTCCTGGGCAAATGGAGAGCATGAGTGGTGGGAGACCGTTTATGGTATATCTTTTTACAGTTGTAGATTCTTGAACCATGTGCTGCAGTATTATAACTTTCCTCCTCCTAAATTTCAAAATAATTTTTAAATTAAAAAAGCATTTCAGCCAATGAAAGTCCTGTTGTTTTACCAAGGGAGATTATTTGATTTCTCTAAATGTCCATTCCCGAGTCTTTTCTGGTAGTCCTGGCTTATTTTCTTTCATTGTGGAAGAAGTATTTCTGACCTATAATTCATGTTCTTCCCCTCAGAGAACTTCTGCCAGTGCTAATTTTATTAGTAAAGCTTGATACAGTTTTCCTACATTTCTTTCCCTTTCTCCACACCGTCCCCAAAGGCTCTATATATTCCTTACCAGGTGAGATAATATTCAGAAAATTCATATGAATAATTATTTACCTTTAATACTTGAATTCTTACCCTGACATAACTTCATAATTGTAGGAAAGCATTAAATGGAACTCTTGCCTTTGTTATAAGAAATACTAGGTTCAGGAGACCATATCTTTAAGACAGCAACCAAGTTGACGCTGAGAAGCTGACACAGGAGGAAAAATTAGCAGAACATTTTATGTGGCAGGAAAGAGAACTGTCTTGAAGTTCTATTTGGAAGGCTGTTTGAAAATGTAGAACTGGGCAGATACCTCCCAGGGCATCAAAGAAAGACCTGAGAGTCTCAAGTGCCCCACAAGGGGGCGCCGGTCTGCAGTGGTGGCCACTGCAGCAGCGCTCGGTAGACCAGCTGAAACAGGTGGTCGCCTCGCGGTTCGTTTCGGTACAAGTCATCTTGCATTCAGAAAAAAGAAACTTCAACGGAATGGCAGGTAGCTTTGGCTGGAATAGTAAGATATTTTCTTTTTTCATCCCAACTTCTCAAGCCTGGAATAGGTACTCTTCATGAGACCCCCTTCTCTTTTAATCCCATTCTCCAGTAGTCTCAAATTCTGTAGCCTGTTTTCAGCAAGTACCTTTCCATCTGTATTTTTTAGGCTAGATAAGCAAGAGGGTGATTTCCTTGTCAGACTTGGAAGGAAAACAAATGCCTTTCAAAGTAGACTTTTTAACAGCCTTGCTTTGATACATTAAATCATGGGTTCATAATGAGCATTTTTACCCAATTCAGACACGACACTGGGGAGGGAGTCATAGCTGGACATCACAGACCACTGTGATTTCAAACTCTCGGCAGGTACATCTCCATTTATGGACGCGCTAACAGCCAATGGAACAACCAACATACAGACATCTGTTACAGGAGTGACAGCCGGGAAAAGGAAATTTATTGACGACAGAAGAGACCAGCCTTTTGACAAGCGGTTGCGTTTCAGTGTGAGGCAAACAGAAAGTGCCTACAGATACAGAGATATTGTCGTCAGGAAGCAGGATGGCTTCACCCACATCTTGTTGTCAACAAAATCATCAGAGAATAACTCACTAAACCCAGAGGTGAGAGACGTCCCTTGGGCTGCTTTGTGCTTCATGTTTCTCCACGCCCTTGTTTCCCGGCCAGGCTGGACGGAATCGGTGCTCTTTGTGCCCTCTCTTTCTGGGCCGTAGTGCGGCCCTGCCAGAAGGTAGGCAAGAGAAGGAAGGTGTGGCAGTCTTGCCCCGGACAACACTGTGCCTCTGGTATAGCCGGGCAAGTGCGCATGTGCATGCCCGCCTCGTTCTCCAGGGGGCGCAGGCCTCCCCCAAGACTCGAATATGAAACTCCTGTGTGCGCATGCTCGTCTTTAGCTTGTCGTCAGACTCTCGAAGGACTCTTTGTTCGGACAAGATTAAAACGGCCCCGGGCCCCCAGTTCCATCTTTCCTGTGCATCTTCAGCATTGTGGTGGAACTTCGTTCCCACTGCAGTGACTTGGGCCCCTGTCCCTTGTGGGTAGTAGCTGGTAAAGTTGGCTTTCAAAATCCAGGGAGACTGCTGCTTGCTTGCAGAGGTTCAAAAACGAACTCAGAAATATCTAAAACACGAAGTTTTGGAAATTTATGCCCTCATATTTGTTTGTTTTCCACTTGTGAAAAGCTAGGTCAGGCTTTCTCCAGACAAGAAAACCAAACTCCACAAAGCTTGTTTAAGTCTGGCCAGGGTCACAGGACAAACCAGTTCAGGGTTGGTCCCCGGTACAGTTTTAGACCACAGAGTCCTTCATTGGTTATTTGCGCGTGCTTCATAGAGGTCATTTTCAATGGTTTTGTGCCCTTCGAAAACAACTTGTGTTTAATATATTTGCACACCAAACTACTGGGTTTCTGTCCCAAGTGTGGTAGGCTGGTGTTTAAAAAAAAAAAAA